TCAATAAGCTGCGAGTCTGTCACATGCTTAACACAGAGACAACCATTCACACTCACGTTTACACCTGTGGGCAATTTAGAATCACCAATGAACCTGACCAGGCTAACTGCATGTCTTTGGACTGGGACGAAGCCAGAAAACTATCAAAAAGGCCCAAGGCAGCCGGAACGTGACAATTTTTGATGTGATTTTCTGAACTAAAACCTAATGACGCACTCACTTTCTCAGTGCTGGCCGCCATCAGAGCGTCAAGTTCCCGAGTCCAGCCAAGAGCATCAACCAGAGCTTGCACACCGCTCACCACATCACCCAGCTGCGCGACGTCATTAGGCCGGCGGCTCCAGGTGAACGGCCCCACCAAGTCCCTGTTGATGAGAAGACGGGGCACAGAACTGCGAACGGCTCCAGCAAGACTGGCAAAAGGCTCCACCTAAAGAGCAAAGAGTTAACTGCAGCTTTTTATGAACCCTCAAACAAGAATGTAGATGATGCAGTGACACTGCATGTACATGTTGCAGCTGTAACAGATGGTGCCACGGACATGCAGTGGTTATACTGTGGTTACTTTATCATAACACAAAGTTACCAACCAAACATTCCAAAGAGAAGATGAGCCACGTTGCTTTTCACCCGCCAAGCTTTACTTCCTCACATCTTCTTTTTAAAATAGCATCAAGTATTTGAACAAAGAAGCATTTTTTGTTATTTTGCTGTTATATCCATGTTAGTTAATGACTTTCACCCAAGTGTTGTAACAATTCTTATATTTAAACTGATTTTAATTTGTCCAGTTACTTTTGAGCCTCTGAAAATGGCTGTGACTCCTAAACAGGTCTTCTGTTCATAACACAGCGCTTTTGTTTAAACCCTTGAATGAAAGTCTGAACAATCACGTTTCGATTGTTTGATTTAAAATCCAAACACTTACAGGCCTCACTGTGTGAAGGTAGTGCGTTTCCTGCCTGAGTTTGAAGCTCACCTCCAGCGATGTGCCCATGATGATCAGCAGGTCTGCCAGTGGGAAGTCTGTCATATACTTGAAGAAGTGTCGTGGAAGCTCCTCACCAAAAAACACGATGTCAGGCTTTACCACGCCCTTACAGGTGGGACACTTGGGGACCGTCCCACTCATCACGTCGGGCTAACAAAACACAAAATGTCAAATTACTGTCTACAAGTGATTTTTTTTTCCAACTAAATGTTTTAAACTAATCAGAGTATGACACAAATACACCAGATTTCAATGAAAATACAACCTGAAAAATCCGTTAAAAAAAGAAAGAAATAATTGCTTATTTGCAAATTCTTTGAATGAATTATGAGAACTCAAAAGTTCACCTGTACAAGTTTGAGGGAAAAACATTTTTTTGTAGACAGCAGATGCCTGTTTTTTTTTTACTCATCTGAAACTTGCAGCGCAAACAAACAAAATCCTTGTTACAGAGGAACAGAAGAAAGCATAAATCCACACAGTTGACGTGAAGTTTGGGTCTTACAGCAACGCAGACTCTGAACATCAGAACGAAACAAACACTACACGTATCCTAATCATGTGCTGAGCAGCTGCTCAACATCTCAGTCTGGTCATTGGTTTATTATCCTGCCAACTTAAGAAGCGCTGCTTTCTT